CACTCTTTCAATGGCACCTTTGTCCTGTGAAAGCAGCAGTCTCTGACTGGTTTCTTTTTTTGCTTGCCTCGCCTTAACCTCATTCACACTTCACAAAACCACTAGATAGCTCTGTTGGACAAATCTTGCCTTTCAAGAGGCGTAGCAAGGGCAAGAAAACCAGTTAAGGTTTAGGGTTTGAGCTTTATTAATTAATGTGTCTGCCTGTGTTTGGGAGGACTTGATTCAGTGATCCAGACAAGTCCCTTTTGGACCCATGGTCCTGAGTTCAAGGAAAAGCTTGGCTGTTAGAGCAAGGTACAGCATGAAGTGAGATTGACATGCATTGGCATGTTTTATGGACTTTCCTCCACCTTGCTTGCCAGTTGCATTCTGTTACTCACTTGTCCTCCACCTTTTTTATTGCATTTGCTAAACTATCTCTTGCCTGCATCTCTTCATCCTCTCCTGTTTGATGTTCATTAGGCCAGTAATTACTTCTAATTCAGTGCTTATGAACTGAGGCTGGTATTTATAAACCTTGGTGCCAGGAGTTCGACAGTTGTTCTTAGATGTCCAAGAGAAAGTCAGAGCTGTTGACATAAGTAGGAGTCACGAACTCCTAATGTGTAACAGTCCTGTGCTGCAGTCTGCACACTGCAGAGAGTGGTGAGGAGGAGATATCTGTTAGGCTTTTGGCCAGTTGGTTATTCACATGGCTCATTTCAGGTCGGAGAGTAGCTTTGAAGGCTGTTTTCCCCTAGCAGCTGCAGCCCTGCTGATGATAAAACAGGCCAGTTTCCACCAGCTGGCAGCAGCAAAGCTCAGCCTCCTGGTCAGTCACCTCAGCTCCCAAGTGCCTCGGCCACCCACGTCTGCAAGCTGGAAGGAAGTGACAGACAAAGAGAGAGACAAAAAAGGATGTATATATGGGCTGATGTAAAAAGTAAGGAAATAATCCCTAGAACATTCTTTTATTTACTTACAGTCTTTGGTTAGGTTTTCTGCAAATACATAGCAGTGCTTGAAATACCTGCCTTTGAATTTACCCACTGATATATTTCCATTCCTCACCTTTTGTCCTCTCCATACTTATGTGTGGCAGCACCTCATTGTATGCTTAAATATTGCTGTCTGATGGGGCAAACTGTACCCATTGGGTACAGTAAATTGTCCCTGGGTGAAAAGGTAAAATGGTGTTCGCAACCTTGTGTCTATGCTGGAAGTGTACAGTGTAGGACTTACTGAGCAGAAGCAAGGAGAAGGTAATTGAGAGCTGTGATCTTGGCACATTCCTGTAGTAATCTAAAATCAATACCAGATATCATAGGAGTCTCATTAATATCTTGAGAGCCAGCAATCTGCAGTAATAATGAAACAACATGTTTTACAGAGAACGAAAGTATGTAAGATTGTTCATACACATGTATACCATCTCTTTCTATGTAGGTGTATTCACACTTAAGGGATCAGAATTCACATGTAAGAACTGTATTACAGACTCAGTTATGTAACAAGTTCCATCATTTCAAGTTAGGTTTAGTTTCTGAACTAGCTATGTAAAACCTTTGCTGTACTGCAAGTCAGATTAAACCTCAGTTAACATACATAGCTTTTTTGTTACAATTTTTTAATTCTGTGTACAAATAACTAGCTCTCACAAGTGCAGCACTTTTAGCACATTTAAATATTGGGCAGATATAAGCATAACTTTTTTTAATGAAATTCATGGGGGACCTTTAAGGGGGAAATAAAAGCTTTTCTCAGAAGATAGTAAGGCAGTGGAACAGGTTGCCCAGAGAAGTTGTGGATGCCCCATCCTTGGAAGTGTTCAAGGCCAGGTTGGATGAGGCTCTGAGCAACTGAGTCTAGTTCCAGCCCCCATGGCAGAGGGGCTGGAACTAGATCATCTTTAAGGTCCCTACAAACCTACGCCTTTCTGTGATTCTGTGAAAAGAATATAATCTTTTCTAGATTCAGAATTAATGAAATACATAGTAATAACCTCATTCTTTTAAGAAGGAGCATTAGGGAGCAAGGCAGAACTGGTACTTCTTTCCAAATAGTTTTCTGGGGCTAAATCAGATGACTAGGTGGTTCAGTTGCTTTTAAATAAAATACCGGATTATCTCTAGTGCTCAGGTTGAGGTTACACATTGAATATCATCATGTATAAATTGTGATTTTAAGAAGCACAGTCAGAATGGTGCTTATTCTGCCTAAAACAATTGAATGTTTCTAACAATTTCTAAGTTGTGTTTGTCTCATGTAGGTCATGGTTCACTGTCAACAGCCTTTGCTTGGATAAGCAAAAGGTGTTTACCATACATGAAGAAATAATAAGCAGTCCAGAGGTAGCCAGCATTACTGAGGCACCTAACCTGTGCCTGTAGAAAGGTAGTAGAAGAAGTACTGTGCAGCTGTAAATGCACTGTGGTTCCAGAAGGGGTTGTTCCATCAGCCTACTGAATATATTTAACAGCATTTTCCTTATGAAGTTCTGTAACATAAAAACCACAGCTGAAAGTTGTTTTACAATCAGTGTTCTTTTACTCACAGGTGGTTTGCAGCTAAGACATAAATTAAAATTTAAGACCAGCTTTCCCTGGATTCATCACTCATTTGTGGAGTGCTTTCTTTTCAAGAGCCAGCTATTCATCAGTCCTACTGTTATGGCTGCACAGCTCCTGAAGTGTCTGCAGCCCTCCCATTTTTCATTGTAACTCAGTTCCTTTTGTAGAGTCAGTAAACACTGTAACATAAGAATGATGGCATAATGGCAGATTTAACTATGACTTTTGGAGCTGCTCCCTAGCTGTGGGCCCACTGCACTGTTCATGATCTCTAAAGGGAGCCTGTGATACCTATTGTCTAGGTCTGTGGTTAGGCAGACTTGAGTAGGAATGAATACCTTTCTCAAAAGTCATGTTGCAAGACCCCGAAGAAAGTGTCCTGTCTGCTCTGCAATACAGGAGAGCACAAGCTGACAAACTGCAAGACTTAGCTCTTCAAATAAATAACCATGAATTCCCCTATTTCACCAGAGCAGACAAAATAAACACATTTTTACACAAATCTCTGCCTGTCTTTCCCCTTGCTGTGCCTCCCTTGCAGAGTCAGACATCTCTCCAGTTTTACTCTCTTCTCCAGCTGCTTTTGGTGTCTCTCTGCACTTACTAATCCTATGTGGTATTTCATGAGTAAGGAGAAATGCCTCTTTCTCCACATCACCTCTGAAGTTTGTCTGTGGCACAAACAACCCCCAGTTCCTCTCAGCACTATCCCAAGTCACCCATATTGTGCCCCATATTTCCCCTCTATACCCATCTCTTGTTTCCCTCGCCCTATCCTGCCGAGTTATGCTTTCTTCCCCTTTGAAAGACAGCAAGCAGCATAAGAGGGAAGGCAGGTCACCTGCCTTTCTGTTCTCTCCTTTCCTGTATGTTTTTGGCAGAAAAGCTAACTCTGGTGGCCATCTGCCTGGTGCACACCCAGCTGTTCTCACTCCTCCTCCTCCACAGAACAGTGGGGAAGATAAAGTGCCAGAGCTCAATGCTCAAGATAAAGGCAGAGAGATCACTTACCAATTACCTATACAGGCAAATAGGACTCAGCACAGGGAAAAGTAATTTATTGCTAATTAAAAGTAGATTGTGTCGTGAGAACCACTGTCCCCAACCCCCTTTTCCATCACTCTACTCCTTGATTCCCAGCTCTTCTCCCATCCCAGGGGCATGGCAACTGGGGGCTGTGGTTAGTCCATAATTGTTCCTCTCTGGTGCTCTTTCTCCTCGCACTGTTCCCTTGCTCCATTGTTGTTTCCCTGTAGATAGTAGTTCCCATCAGGACAGTCTCCTCCGGGGACTTCCCCATTATGAAGAACCTTCTCCATCTCCTTGCACATTGGTATCTGCAGAGCTGTTTCACATGATCCCAGAACTGTTAGTATTGGAAATGACTTCTGGAGATCAACCAGTCCAACATCCCCGAAAAGCCAGGGTCACCAGGAGCAGGTGACACAGAACACATCCAGGTGGGTTTTGAATGTCTCCAGAGAAGGAGGCTCCACAATCTCCCTGTGCAGCCTGTTCTTGTGCTCTGCCACCCTCTATGTAAAGTGTTTCTCACACTTTCTTCAGTCACTCCTTTCTTGGCCAGTTCTTTTGCCTTTTCTTAAACCTGTTTTCCCTGAATCCTCGCCACTGTCTGCAGGGCTCAGCTGTGCCCAGCACTGTGTCTGCCACAGGGCAGCCCTGGCTGCTCCTCGTACACATCCCTGCAGCTGTTGCTGCCAGCACCTGGGCACTTACACCATTGCCATGCAGTATGGATACTGTGAGCTGTGGACAGGTAAAACAATCCTGCAATTCCTGATCTTCAGAGATTTGTAAGACCCGAAACTGGGCAACTTCTCAAAAAAATGTGTTAACCCTATTGATACTGGTCACCTGAATGTTGGTTGCCTGTGTGAGGTTGCACATAGTGTGGAGTGAAGGATCCTTCAGAGGCCGACAGTGATACTGAATTATGTCAGAAATCAGGATGACTGGAGGTTTAGATGCCTAAATTTTAATTGAGTGGAGTGACATGGGTTCCATCCTGATACCTCACAATGAATGCTCAGAATCAGAGATCACTCCTGAAATTTTGCTGTCAAATGTACTCTTGAGTGTTCTGTGTTGTACAAAGCAGATGTAACCCTTTCCCTTCCCTTTCTGAAGTCAGGCAGAGTAAGTTACTTGAGAGTAAACTGGGTTTTTGTTGGATGCTGTCTGAGCAGTGATGTTTTGGTACACTGGTGTAGCCTCTGTGAATTCAGACACCTGCATGCCCCTGGCAGTGCTCACATCCAGCTGTGGCACCACTGGGTGGCTTTGCCCACCTATCAGCTGATTTGGGAAGCTCAGCACAAGCAGTGCTCTCCGGCCAGAGCAGGCAGATGTGTTGTGCACCCTGATGTTGTTCTGGGACAAGATTAATTTCAGCACACTCACATTAATCCATTATATGTCTCTTTCCAGCACAAATGGACCCCCGAGGCCTATCTCCCAGACAAATTAAAAGTGACAGTGATGATGACGACCTGCCAAATGTGACCTTAGATAGCGTTAATGAAACTGGATCTACAGCGCTCTCCATAGCCAGAGCAGTACAAGAGTAAGTATCATGTTCCCAGACAAGATGAGTGTTGCTGAGGTGTTCCCAGGCTGACGGAGGCACTGGTGCTGCAGGGCTGTCCTCCTGCCTGCGGGCAACATACCTGCCAGCACCTTTCCCTGGAGATTTATTCCCTTTTTTGGAAGAGATGACTGCATCTCTTGTCTCTCTCATGATATTTTCCTTTCTTTCTCTCTGCCCTCATTATTAGGTTGAGTTTCATATTGAAGTTGTTTCTTCCCCTTTATATACTTGGAAAGCTTGCAGTGGTTTTATACCCTCTCCAGAGAGAGACCAGGTTAGATTACCACTCAAAAACCATTTTTCCTTGACTGAAAGCAGCATCGGGAAGTTGATTGTAGTTGCTGTCAGATAGGAATTAGCAGCATTTCTCCTGAAGGACAGTGTAATTGGAAGGAAATTACTGAGGGTCTTCGAACAATTTTCCACTGCGGTTATTTTTCTGTGTACTTTTGTGAACGGGGTGGACAAATAATTTATTAATTTAGTACCTGCACTGCTTGTTTGAAACTAAAGAAGCAGTTTATCATGAACATTTGCAATTCTGCAGATGCATGAGGTTGGTCAGTCACTGTAGCAGCTGGAAGGGAACCAACTGTGAAGTAAATAAGTATTAATATCCCAATTTTATAGGTGAGGAAAATGAGGTTATGTGTAAAGGTCACCCTGTGGTGGGGTTGGTCTGAAGCAGAGCTGGAAATAGAACTAGAGCCTCCAGGCACTGAAGCCTGTGCTAGACCCACAAAACACGTTAACTTTATCTGAGAGGTTCAAAATATGGGAATTCTGGACATTATTAAATAAAAATGGTATAATGAAGGCCATTAGACATTGCTATTGTATATGTTATTATAGATGCATTTTAAATGTCTTAATATGGTATCTAAAAATGTTTTGCTTTGTTTTGCTGAACACCAACAGCTAAAAGAGCTGACATTTCTAAGCCATGTTTGGGGAGGTACTGCCTTTGGGTTTTTTGGGTTTTGGGTTTTTTTTGCATTTTCACTGGAATGTAGTACTTCATCTTCCAGCCAAGCACCATAACTGTGAATCTCAAACCAATATTCTCCTTAAGCAGAGAGAGAGGTGTTCGTGAGCAAGGCAAGACAAGGTGTTGGTTCGGTGATTAGCAGGCTCCCTTTCTAACAGTGATAAAGGAGGGGAGGGTTTCTTTGCCAGTGAGGCTATTGCTTGATAGGCAGGTCCCATATGTATTTTCTATTTTCTAGTCACAACAGCCGGCCCTGAAGTGCTAAGTATTTTTTCTCAATTTATAGCACACATAGTAAGCCAGAAAAACAAAACAATACGTCATGATTTTGCAGTAAATGATTTTGCACTGTCTAATTACTGAACAAAGGAAGTATGGAGCACTAGCAAATAATTTTAATATATGACTGGCAGGCAGATACTGTTCTCTGTGATGGATATTGCTTGAGCACTTAGAGAATTGGTCAAACCATGGGAAGCGTTTTTAAGCTTTTGTACAATGAATTCCAGTTTGTGAAGTTAAATATATTGAGTATTACTTGACTGGCTCTGGAGCTTAAGAATCAAATTAAGAAATTTAATAATATAACATCAACTCATTCTTGTTACAGGTTTTATTTAAACAGTAATCTGTTAGTTTATTTCAAAAGCCCCATTAGGAAAATCTAATTTGACTGTGATCTGCAATTTGTCATCTTTACTTCGTTCTCGGTCACAGACACCACACATACAGCTGCTGAGTTGAAAAGGAATGTTGGCACTTCATGCTGCTGCACTCAGTCTATTTCTTACTTGGTCTGCAATATTGTGCCTTACGGGCAGGCTCTCTTTTGATTTTAGGCATCTAATATGTACCTTAATATTAGATGTTTATCAAAGGACTCCACTGAAGAAGAAGCTCTCATTCTACATAGCCTTGTTGCAGAGAGGAAAGTGCCTCTGAAGCCTTCCAGATGGAGATCCTGTGTGCTCAATTTCAGCATCTAAACTTAGCAGACAGGAATTTCCTCTGAGGACATGGAAAGGCACCTACTGTTCTGCTGAATAACCAGGCATAGGGACATGCATAGAAAGACCTCTTCAGCAGTCAGTAAAGTGTAGGTCAAAGCTTGGTGCCTGAGGGAGGCAGGCTGGCCCTCGAGTCTGGATGACTGTCCCACAGAGTATGTTGTTTTCTAAGTGAGCTTGTAATCTCTTTCTGGTGAATAGATGCCCAAAAAAAATAACTTCTTGCAAAGAGTGACTGAGAACTACACTACACTACAGTACTTCCAAAGCGATGGCAGCTTCCTTTTCTTCAGTACCAATTGGTATTGTACAGTCTTGTCTTTGTTAAACACAGTACCAATTTGTAGGTGCTTGGTAGCAGGTGTGAGACAGCAGTTGATCTTTTCTTCCTTGTTTTTCAGACATGTTTTAAATTATTCTGCATAAGGATTATGAATATATAAATGTATATATATTTGCTTACTGCCACCTATTCTCTAAGAGCAGTGAGGGGGTTCAGACTCTGGGATTTTCAGTATCTGGTGGTGGGAATTTGCTTTGGGTTGATCCTGTAGAGCTCCTCACACAGCATGGGGCTGTGAGGGATTGCCTCAGTGCCTTGCCTTTCCTTGCCTCCTGCCTTTCCCTGTGTGCTGTCGGTGGGGCTCAGGATTCATCTTGCCTGCCTGGGTATCTGCATCCCAGCCAGTTACCTTTCTCCCTGCGTATGGGAGTACTTAGCACACACACTCAGGCAGCAATCCCTCTGCCCTGTTGGAGCTCTCTAATACAGGGGCAGAGAGAGACTCCAGGCTGTGAGCTCCCGTTCCTCTCCATCGTCCACGGGTGGCGCGGACAGCTGCCTGGGACACACGTCAGCGCTGCAGATCCCTGGTGCGAGGTGAGGCCAGGCAATCCACAGTGCCTGACTGGGGAGCTACTGTGCCAGAAACTGAGAGTGGCAGCACTGTACTGAATGCTCCTGCATCTTCCCTCCATCTCTGCCACGTTTTAACCACAGGGAAATCAGCTCATCAGTTTTTAGGGAGAAACTGTTGTTTTAATGCAGCCATCTTTAAGCTTGTTATTTTGAAAATGACACTTACCTAGCTGGGTCACAGGACAGTTAGGAATGCCTGTTTGAAAGCTTTGCTTTTCTTGTCCTCTTAAACTGGGTGGCATCCACCTATGTTGCTGCTTTGTTTCGGGTCCACTGTAGTCTTACAGGAACAAAATTCTTAGGAATAAAAATTGTGACAATGAAACACTAAGAGCCACATGTTTGACATTAGTTCTTATTTACACAAACAGAATGTAATTTGCTTGCATATTTGTGAGGTGACCAAGTATGACTATTTTTTCTCAGGGAAATTACCTTCTTGCTGCAAGCTTCATGTTGGCTAAGCTTCCAGACTTCTTTCTCTGTAGTTCTTTCGGAATGAGTTCATAGTTCTTCAGTTCAACAAACCCAATCAATAATGTGAAGTTATAGATAAATGAAGTCATTATTTCAAGCAGGGTACTTCAGTGAAATTTCTTCCTGTGACAGTGCTGGTTTATGGAAGTTGCTATGTCTTACAAAATACGGACTAAGAATTGTTTATTAATCTCAGATAATGCGCTCTGGCTGATAATAAATATTGCAACATTATGTAGATTTCAGTGGGCTTTGCATTGTAAGCAGCATTTCATCCTTCCTATGGCATGTTTTACAAACTCATTTTGACATGTAACATCTAACAAAGAGCAGATTTGCCTCCATATGCCTGACACCACTGATGCTTATTACACAGCAAGAATAGCATCATATATTCAGAACCAAATCTCAGATACGCTCCGGAAATCTTTATGAAGCCAAGGGAGGAGAAGGCATTAGTCAACCTCTCGAAGACCAGTAAAACTTTTCTAGGATCCCTCATAGAGGCAACATGCTTTTCCCTCAGCCTGGCAGCCTTTCCATCCGTAGGCAGAACTGATGCAGAGTGGCCTCAGGGGCCATCTCCATGGCACATAGTAATGCAAACCCTGAACAGAGCTTTCATCTCCTTATTTCCTGCACACTTGTGTGGTAAAATACATTATTTTACAGCATGCAGCTCTACCTCCCTGAATATGCACAATTTGAGATCTCCTACTTGCAGAACCTGAGTGCAGAAGCAGGATAGGCAGAGGGTGATTTTTAGCATGAGCTTTTGACCAGTATGTTGGTAAAAATCCAAAGGTGCAGAAATTCCTCTTTCTCTCTAGACTTCTTTTCTCCTTAGGTGTTGTAAGTGGAGGAAACTCCTTTGATGGAACCATTTTTTTCTTTCAGATGTCAAGGAAAAGAGGAACTGTGCATATAAACTGATGATGCTTCAAATAGTGTATTGTTTTTCTAGAGTAAGGGAGAGACAGAAGTTTCAGAGAGGAAATCCTGTCTACTTGTAGTTATAGCTGCAGTTAATTCACAGAGATGGGATTTGTCATTTGTATCTGACTGCTCTAACCTTTAACATGAATTCCCCTTTGGGCTGAGCTGGGTGCCTCAGAGTGCTTGTATGAAAATGAGATTAGGGACCGTACCCCTGTTCTCATTGGCTACTTTATGTGATTGATATATTGGTGCTAATGTGATCATCTTACTTTATTTTTAAATTCTCTGGCATCTATTACTGCAATACAGTAGGAGTTCATTTTGGATACTGCAGTAACAAAAAGGAGGCTCCACAACAGACAGACAGCATAGCACCATTCCAATGTACTCTCTTAAATTAGTACATGCTTTTCAAATCTGTTTGGTGGTTTGTTTTTTTTTTTTCCCTAGATCTCTTTTTTTTCTCCCTTCTCTTCTTCAGTGTAAATCAACTTCTGTGGTTTATTTTTATTTTTTAGAAGTTTGTATCTTTGTTTCCATCAGCCGTTCATTTTCTACACTGGTATAGTTTGTTTTCCTGCTTCGGTTGCAATCGTTACTGCTGTTGTGCTATTCATTATAGGGAACTTTCACCTCATTTTTCTCT